ATTTAGCAAATAATTGTTTTATACATGGGTAAATAAAAATATATTATACATTTTATAATATAGTTAACCTTGAAACGTTAACGAAAGAAAATATATATTTTTTTTAAAAACACGCTTTAAACACACCGACCCTGTTAGTTACCATCATGATAGTATTTTTTAAAGGGACATTTGCGTTCTAATTTCTGGCAAACGACAATACATGCTAATTACAATATAATTGTCCTGCAGTTGGATTGGTTCAAGYATTTTTTATACTTGGCCAACATCCAGGCGTATTTCATTGAAATTTCATTATRAAAGATTTGTGTCAAATAATTAGCACCAATACAACTACAATGTAAACTTTTYGTGTAAACTTCAATATGATTATTATTTACAAAAAAAATTCCTATATCTATTCGACTAATGGTTGTTAAAATTAATTTGATAATTTTGTTGCTCCAATGTAAGATTATTTTAAAAAGATAATTATTACCAATAGAGTAGCTTTTTCAAGCAATAAAATTATATTAAAACAGTATTACGTTAATTGTTTTTATCAAACAATATTTTGTAAATTTTACTATAATTTTTCGAAAGTGGTGTTTTATATATTCTTATATTTATTCCTAATGTTAATATATTATGTATTTTTTTTAATTACGTGAAAGTAATAAGTGATAAATTACAGTCATATAAAACATAAACGTTTATGTATGCAAAATAAAAATCATGTTTGTATTAGGCGATTTCGAAAATGTCATGATACCAGTTTCTAAATAAAAAAACTGACAATAGGTACTAGATTTATAAATAACTAACAAGCTGAACAATGATAATATAGACATAGCCACATAGGCATCGTATAGTTATAGTATGTATTATAATATATTATAATATTTAAATTACCTATATTATAAACAATACAAAAATATTAAATTAATGCAAGTAAATAGCAATAATTATTCAAATGAATGTGAGGCTTTATTTTCTTATCAAAAATATTTTAAGGCTATAGAAGTCCGTCGAGTAAATATATAAGTATTATGGTTATTATTCCATTTGGTATCTATTTTGATAATAATTACATTTCTTAAAAATTACATTATTATTTCTTCGCAATTTAAGGACGAATAATTTAGTAGATGGTTGATAACCTACTTAATGTTTTATCAAATTAAGACATTAAA